TGGCTCCCAGATGCTCAAGTGACTTATGCAACATGTATGCCCCAAGTGCTTAACTGTGTGCCAGACACTGTTCTGGGTGCAGAGCACACAGCAGGACACCGACAGGCAAAACCCCCTGCCCTCGTGGAGCATGCATGCCAGTGGGAAGAGGTGGTAAACAGTATTTTAGAAGGTAATACATTTTATGGAGAAAAACAGAATAGTAAACAGGAATCAGGGATGGAGGGTTGCATCCTTTTTTAATTGATTGACTTGAGAGAAAGGGAGGGAGGGGGAGGAAGAGAGGGGGGGAGAGAGAGAGGGAGAGAAAGAGAAACTGATGTGAGAGACACACATTAATTGGTTGCCTTCCTCACTCACCCCCAGTGGGGGCTGGGGATCGAACCTGCAACCCAGGTATGTGCCCTTGACTGGGAATCAAACCGGTGACCCTTCAGGCCATGGGCTGATGCTTTAATTACTGAGCTGCACCGGCCAAAGGCTAACATTTTTCTTTTTAACCCTCACATGAAGATGTTTTTAGAGAGAGATGACAGGAGGGAGAGAGAAACATCAATTGGCTGCCTTATGCGTGCACACCGACTGGGGACTGAACCTGCAACCTGGGCATATTGGGACGATGCTCTCACCAGCTGAGCTACCCGGCCAGGAAAAGGATGCAGGTCTAAACCCGAAAAAGCCTCAATGAAATGATGTTTCAGCAAAGACTCAAGGGAGAGTGTGGTATGTGGGGGAAGATCATTCTAGAATCTAGATAGAGAAACAGCCAGTGCGAAGGCCCTGAAGCAGAGGTGTGGAAAATGGCTGGAAGGGGAGGAGAGAGCAGAAGGGGCGGGCCAGGGGGGCCTCATTAGGCACCCTGAGAACTGGGCCTTCACAGGAAGGTGTGGGGCAGAGAAGAGAAAGGTCTGATGCGGTTTTGTAGGATCACTTTGGCTGTTTTGAGGAGGGGGGAGAGGAAGGGGAAGGTGAGAGACCGGTTAGGAGGCGTGGCTTTCACAGTCATTCAGGCAAGAGATGCAGTTCCCAGGAGCAGCAGCCACAGAGGTGCTCAGATCGGCCATTGAGGCTTGGGAGTCCCCTCGCCCGTCCATGATGTACCGATTACAGGACGAGGTCTGGGCTGGCTGGGGCCACCTGTGCCCTCTGCCCTTCACACCAACATCACTGCTGCTCAAATGGGCCTCCCTTTTCTGCCCCCACACTTTTGCTCGGGCTGTTTCCTCCCTGGATTTCATCGTCCTTTGAACAAACACTTGAAACCTTTAATGCACCAGGCCCAGGTTCAAGGACTCGAGCTCCCCAAGTCCTGGCACCTATCCTCCCTCCCACCATCCTGCCGGTCCCCAAGTCTCTAGCTCCTTAAGTGGCACACCATACCCCCCACGATGCTCTAGAGCAGTGGTTCTCAACCTTGGCTGCACATTAGAATCGCCTGGGAATCTTTTTAAAAGCCTGATTTCCGAGCCTCATCCTCCGGAAATTCTGTCTCTTTGTTACTAATGTTGTGGCCCCACCCCATAACAAAAAAACAGAATTTCCGGAGGATGAGGCTCGGAAATCAGGATTTTAAAAAGATTCCCAGGCGATTCTACTGTGCAGCCAAGGTTGAGAACCACTGCTCTAGAAGAGACCGGGCTCCCTTCTGGTGTCTCCCTCTCCCTCCAGTTCACACTGAAGCCCATCGGCGCTCCCCGTGCACAGCTCCCCTGCACAGTCTCTCCTCTCTGCACCCTCTCCACCGCCAGGCCGCAGCGCCCGTCACCTGAACGGGAGGTAAGCGCGGGGCTGCCACCCGCACCCCGTGCACCCACCGCACAGGCTGCAGCGACGGTCAGAGGAGCGAACACCGCACGGGGTTCAGCCCGCACGCCCACTGGTCACCGTGACACGCGCCACCTCCGACCCTCGTTCAGACAGGCCACCTTCTCCAGGCTTCTTTCTTCCATGTTTTCAAAGGCAGCACACGGCCTTCTGACCCTGCCGGTGCCGTTCTCGCTCGAACACTCTTCCCCGCGCCGCTCGCTCGGACGTCTGGCTTCGTCTTTTATTCGCAGTCCCTCTCGGGGCACCATCTTCAAAGCCCTCCTCACACCGAGTTGACTTTGAAACTCTTTGCTGCCTCCCCCCACCGGGGCTGTGGACCAAGCGCCCTGGGCCTTGTGTTTCACTCTCCCGTCCCCCCAGGACTCGGCTCCGCGCGTGGCTCATGGAGGTGCCCTCGGAACGAACGCCTGACACGCGCCTCCAGCCCGGCCTCAGGTCCCCTTCCTCCAGGGCCCGGCCCGCCCCCTTCCCGACCTTACCGAGCGCCGACTTGGGTACTTTCCCTTTCGCCGAGTTCCGCA